GAGGTTGCACGACTGTTGATTGAGAAAGGTGCTGATGTCAATGTATCTGATAAATATGGAAACACTCCTTTATTACATGCAGCTGGAAATAACAACGAAGAGGCTGCACGACTTTTGATTGAGAAAGGTGCTGATGTCAATGCATCTGATGAAAATGGACAAACTCCTTTATTCTATGCAGTTAGAAATAAGAACGAAGAGGTTGCAGGACTGCTGGTGGAGAAAGATGCTGATGTCAATGCTTGTAAAAATCATGGAGAGACAAAACTTCTACATCTTGCTTTGAATTACCAAATGTATAAAACTGCAAAAAAACTGTTAGAATTAAACGCCACAGATATGGATGCTGAAGACGATAATGGCAGAACGGCCATATTTCATTTGATAGGGATATATGAAGACGACATTTTTGAATACGGAGACTATATGTACGGAGATACTGATGATAGACAAGAACTTACTCGCAAAGTGGCTTCTTCTTGCAGTAATATTGATAAAAGGGATAACCAAGGTCGAACTGCGCTCTCTTATGCCATTGAGAGAATGAATAAAGATGAACGATATGAAAGTCCGGCACGAATGATCATCGACGCTGGTGCTAATGTTAACTTAGCAGATGATAAAGGACAAACACCCTTGTTTTATGCATTGAGGCCTTCCGCCGTACGCTTGTTATTAGGACATGGTGGAGATTTAAATCTTCGAAACAATCAGCAGGAAACCGCCTTGATTCATATTTTGTCTGAGAAAGATTATTTTCGAGATAGWTACCSATATTTCAACTACTACAAAGGGTCACATTTATGCGAGCAGTACGTTAGTGCACTGCTCAATTACGTAGACGCTACTTATGTGAAGGCAAGAGACATGTATGGCAGAACAGCAATATTCTATGCTGTTAAAGCATTTGATGATAGTAAAATATTTGAAGTTATAGCGACGAAGCTTGTTCGCAAGGGGGCTGTTGTAGACGATACCGATAATAATGACATGAGCGTTTTATCGTATTTCGTTGAGAGATATTGTTACAACAGTTTTAAGGATAACACAAATATTTCAGAAAGACTGTCATTTTTTATCAAGAATGGCATACGTAATTCAGCAATCTTCACCTCAGCATTGAGCTATTTGTATGCTATTTTACCAAACTACTTTCACAGTACATTGAATAAAAGACAGATATTTCCGAATGCTATATCTGTTGCATACACATACGCCAGTCATGAAGTGCAATGTATCGATTCCTTAAATGCACTACTCGACGACGAAAGAATACCAGAAGCTCTGGACGCCTTGAAGAGGTTAGGTGTCAATCCCAACAGTGCCAATTCGTATGGAAATACTGCTCTTCATTATGCCACTCTGCTTCCATTCCATGGCGTATCACAAGAGAACGTAAAGAAAGTACTGGAGACGCTTAGAAACCATGGGATACGAACCAACATCAGAAATCAGGAAAAAGAGACGCCTCTACATTTCTGTCTTTCAGAACAAGCATGGAAACTAGCAAGCGAGAAAGACACATGGAGTGGAATCATGACAGTGGTGGAGATTTGTGAGTTTCTTCTNAGCTCACCGCAATCAAATATTGGACTTGATGATACAGGATTAACATCTGTTCACCTGAACATTGCAAGACAACTGCTTTTACGCGGGGCGGATAATAAATCGTGCATGGGTTTGTGCGAAAATTTCCCAGAACTACATTCCTTTTTGACCAAAAAAGTTGACCCTGACAGTGTGCCCATGATCATTCCATGGACTTCGTTTACCAAAGCTCACGTAGACAAACTTAAAAGAGTTTCAAGGAAACAAAATGTTGGCACCATTGGCACCTACTGGTTTCATAAAGAACCGATAGGAGGTGGGTCGTTTGGTCATGTTTTTGTAGGAATCAACGAAAAAGATGGAAGAGAGATTGCAATTAAGAAGATTGAAAAATTGCGACTTGTACGGCCAGAAGATCAAAGAGAAATAAGAAATTTGACAGCATTAGCAGATTGTCAACAAGTCGTTAGCTACATCTTCTTTGATGACAGTGACAAGGACTTTGTATACACTGTGCTAGAATTGATGGAGGGACATCTAGATGATTACTTTGCAAGTTCTTGGTTTAATGTGAGTCGAAGCGTGCTACTATGTAAAGATATTGTCGAAGGACTATCGTATCTACATGGGCAAAAGCCAAAGCCAATACTTCACCGTGATCTCAAACCAGGAAATATCCTTTACAAACTCCATCCCAATCTTTGTCTTAAGATTGCAGATTTTGGTCTGAGCAGCCCTCTGACAACAGTTGGGACCACTGTTCTTGGTACCAATGTTGGCACTCGATGCTGGATTGCTCCAGAAGTTATATCTTCTAGCACTTACCAGCATTCTCCATCGTCTGATGTCTTTTCTTGTGGACTCTTGGTCCATTACATTCTTTCAAAGCAAAAGCATCCATTCAGTCCAGCGGATTGCTCTAATAAGAGCAGAGAAGTTATAGATGTCAAAACACAAAGCAATATGCTAAGCTACAACATGGATGGATGGGATAAATTCCTTACTCCTGAAGCAACACACCTAATAAAAGGCATGCTACAACAAGATCCGAGTCACCGACCTTGTGCAGGCGATTCACTAAGTCACCCTTTATTCTGGACTCAAAAGAAGAAGATGGATTTCCTATGTGCTGTTGGCAATCAGTACGAGTTTGAATGTCCACCTGCTAGCAAAGCAGCCTCTCATCATAAACCAACAGCAGTAGAAACTGATCTTCAGAACAACTTCTCCATCATTGTAAGATATGCAAAATGGGATAATCCTAATTACAAAGATATGGCAAAAGTCGTTGCCGAGATGAAGAAAACAATCAAAAAAGTAAACAAAAAGGGAGCAACCTACTTCCAAAAGCCAAGAACCTACGATACTGGTTCCGTGGTTGAGCTAGTTCGTTTCATCAGGAACGCAAACAATCACGTATCTGAGCGCAGTCGACCACCTGACATTAAGAAACTGATTCTTGAGGACTTTGTGTTTTTGAAAGAATTTCCTTATCTACTGATGGAGGTTTACAAAGCTGTGACTACACATGGGTGGGACCCCAGGGAAGAAATCAAGTATGCTATGGCAGATCAGGAGCACCAGCCATGAATTGCTTATGTAAGTACAATTTACGATATACTTTAGTTATAAGTAGTAGAGTACAAACACTAAAAGTCTACAACATACTGCTAAATTATTGTAATTATCATTAATATTCTTTTCTATTGTTCAGCTAGTACAATTTTTAAAATAGTAAATAGTGCAAAGTGTTGCACATGTTTAAAGTTAGTCATTTGGAAGAGGCCAATCTGCAATTATGGGTACTTAAGTAAGGCTTTTGTCAAACCTTTTTTGATTTATAACTATGCTATATAAGCATTTGAGTTGGTCATGGTCCTTATTTATTTGCTTTTTGGAATGGAGTAGCGGGTTAAAATGAAACTCATTGGCACTTTTATCAGCCAATCAGCATGAGTGAACACTGGAAAAAATCGCGCGCTTTAAAGGTTGTAAATTTGATGTACATATCATGTAAGTGTCCAAAATTCTGTAAATTTGATGTAAATTATTTCCATTAAATTTACAGAATTTTGGACACTTACATCATATTTACATCAAATTTACAACCTTTAAAGCGCGCGATTTTTTCCAGTGTAATTCACACACGSGCGGTGAAACATTTTTAAAAACATTCTATGAGCTTATTATCRCAAACTTTATTTTGACAGAAACACGCATGTGTTCCACAAGCCTACTACAGCCTGGTAGTCCACAAGACAAGAAACTACCAAGATTAACTATAGAACACATAGCTTTAAATATTTTGAACAGAATGTATTAGAARAATGTTGCATYAATCACATAATCAATTAAGTATCRTTGCTATAATAAGCAACTCGTAATAGAATAAAAGCCAGAGTACGCATGCTCTGGAACATTCAAACGTGATTGGCATATTTTTATGCCATATTAGGTACTCAAAGCTCGATGCAAAATATATAGACACTCGTATTACGAATAATGAATATTTAAATATTTTCTTTCTTTAGAAATATTTTTCAAGAAATGCATTGAGTTTGACAAGTTTACATTTTTATTMTGGGTTTCTAGTGATACGCATCAACATCACTGCAAATAAGCAATACGTAAATTACACGTATATTCATACGGATACGCAATAACAATAT